GATGGCAGACTTCAAAATAAAAGTGAAGAAAGAAACTATCAGCCAAAGTAGATAGGCGTTAATAGCATCTCTTTAAATGTAACCAACCTACAGTAAGGTGAAATATTTTACAGACTTTATTTCCCTTGGGAACCTGAATGCAGAACTTCCTTGTAAGGACAAACAGGCTATGAAAGAACAGAGCAGGGATTGGTCTTTCTCAAGCCACGGCCAGCAGGGGTGGCCAGCTTTATCCGAGGGGAGCGTAAAAACTGGAACACATCAGGGGGAAGACATGGGTTCAGTATTTCCCCTCATAACGAGGGAGAGCTAAGCCCACCTCTGAGGAAAGCAGCACAAGCCAAAGTGCTGTTGACTGTTGTGGGTATGCACACCACACCTCCCTCTATCAAGCTAGGGAGAAGCTGCAAAGGTGCAAAATTCATGCCACGTGAAGAGGAAGGTTTACTCAAATCTTGAAATTAAGGTCTAAAGGAGGCTTAGTTTCTAGCTGTAAGACTATGCACTTCTTGTCCCTGGACAAAAACTTTCTAGGAGCAGGGACGAGAAGCCAGGTTGTCTCCCTCTCAGTGAGTTTCTTACCTAATCGCCATGGTCTGCACCGAAGAGTTATCAAGATAAGATGCAGCACCATTTCATCTCATTTCTACTGCATACTCAAATGAAAAGACTCTTGTCAACAGAGCACAGCTGATTCCGAGTGAGGCAAGAGCTTGCTGATGAGCCTCGATTCCTGCCACTGCTGAACAACATTTCAGACATCTGATATTGCCCTTGAAAATTAAGAGGTCTGTAGTGGGATGACCCCATCAGGCAAAGGAACCAACTCTACCAAATATTTTAAAAGTGATTTGTGTTTACTTTGACCTTTCTGGCTTGACCTATCCATCAAACTGTTTTCCTTCTCAGCAGGTGAACGGAAAACAAAGTTCATCCAGGATGCATAGTTCCAATAAACTAGCTCCTAACACATACACTAGGCCTCAGCTAAGGTGATCTCTTGTGACCAAGAACCTATCAATCTATCAAGAAGAATCTAATCCTCCATTTTGGGTGAAGCTTATGAGAAAAGTTGGAGCAAGACAACTTGCAGAGCTCCAGTTATGTCTTCAAATCCCTTGACTGAGGGCAATCAGGATTCTGACCTCAAGAAGGCACAGAAATAGCTTTTGCTGCATGGATTGATTATCTTCACCCAAAGGAAGAGACAGATCAGGCATTTCTGCTGCTGTTATCAGATGTATTAGTTGTCTTTGATACAATATTGATCATCTGCAGAGCATGGTGGGAATAGACAAGGCAGCTCTTCAGCAGGCTCTGTTTTATATCTTTCTGAGAATCCAAAAAGGAAGGGTCAACAGTTTTGCTTCTCCCACTATCAAGAAAATCTATTACACACTCCTCACAGTTCAGGACGTATAGAAGGACATTTGGGAAGGCAGCAAAGAGAAATAGGGAACATTTATAATTTTGTTTCATTAGCCTCTTTTAAATTGTTTAATTTTGCTTGGTAGTGATAAGCGGGATGAGAACACCAGACCAGCAACATATGCGCTAACTCTCAGCTGTTACACTGTGACATGTACTGCTGTTTTGTCTGTGCAATTACTTTTGGGTTCTGCTATAAAGCTCTTGAAGTAAGACACGCTAAGTTTTGTTTAGTGCCAAACATATTTTTCTCAGCTCAGACATTATAATCACACAATCACTGAGTGAACCTAACTGAGGGGAAAGCCAAAATTATCACTATCTGATTGTCTGATTTCATCCCCCAGGGTCCAAGGAGCTGGGGGGAAAAGAATTACGGTGCATGCTTGTACATTTAAAACCTGAAATACTGCAGGGACCCTGGAAGTAAAGAACGTTTCTCCATCTATCCAATCTGCCCACTTCCCCACACAATAACCCATACCACAATGAAAAACTCCTGAATACAACAACTGACAAGAAAATCTGCTATGCAGTTCACGCTTGCTTTTCTCTATCAAGGCCTGAATGCAGAGAACAATATATCTAGTAGCATAATAACAGAGACCATTAATACTTTAGAGGTTCAGTATAAAATTGCTTTCATTAGCATGTCAAGTGTTTATTTTAGCTTACTGCAAAACAAGCTCCTTACACACAGCCACTTATTTGACTTTCCTTGATTGCAGAGAGGGTAATAATGAAGGAACCTACTTTCCATGCTCTTCTGTGGAGACTTTTACATGCACCAAAAAGATATTGCTCCATTACCTCCAACCAGTGAACCAGCTTGGCATGCAGTAGCAAAATATTACAGCAGAAATATTACTGAACACAGTGGAATAGTTTTTACAGGCTGCCACAAAGGGCATGTATATGAGGGTGGCAGGAGGCTGTGAAAAGAGCAAGCTGTATTCCCATCTTCAGTCTAAAAGAACACTAAGAATTAAGTAGAGGGAAAAAAAAAACTGGCTCTTCCTGTGCCTCAGTGTGCATTGGCTAAATATTTTATTTCTAGTCACGGCACCAAGGGGAAAATAATATCGTGCATTAAGTGAAAGTATCTTTGGGCTTGCTTTTATTGCTAAAAGCCACTTTTTTCTTTTTTCTTTTTTTTTAAACTTGGGATAACTAAAGCATGCGAACTATCCTGAGGTTAAAACACAGTGAAGACAAAGCACTTCAGTTTTACCATGAGGAAAATTCAACAAAGTTGACCTCAGGCAGAGCTTGGCTTTACTGAGTTTTATTTGAGACTGCTTATAAGCATTAGCTACTCTGAAGTTAAAAAAAAAGAAAAAAGAAAAAAAAGGCAGTTTCTTGGAAGTAAAGACAAAGCCCTTCCTAAACAAAAATACTCAGTTCTGGTTCATGTCACTTACTGACAGCTTTCCTAATCTTCAAGGCTCCCCATTAAAAGTTCTTTTAATTAGTCAGAAACAACAGCCTAGCTAATAATGAGAACAAGAGAAACTAAACTCTGTTCTCAGACAAATGCGTGCAAATCCCATTTACTTAAATGGAAATGACTCACAGGTGTGCTACATTAGGATCTGGCCACTTTGCAACTTTATGGGAATGCAGTATCTGGAACGGAGCTGTTTGATTCCTCTTCAAAACAGAGGCGTAGGCACCTCCACAGAAATCTGAGCCAGGCTGCTTCCCCAGCCCCCCCACAGCAAACACTTTAATTACTTTTTTTTCCATCACAACAACTCTCTAGTCTAAATTTAGACTTCCAATCCTAAACGTTATAGGCCTGATTTGTGCCTAAGGAGAAGTAAACTCCGCCACCGGCTAGATTAAACTCTGCAGCGGTGATTACGTGTTACCGGCCTCAACTCTGCATCAGCAAAATCTACTGTAGAGCATCAAATGTGAGGCGTCTAAGGCATTTTACAATTCCCAGGTAATGCAATCGCTCTCTTGCCATGCTACCCACTTCACCCCTCCCATGCGTTTGCTTGTGCTCCACAAAGTGAACTGTAGGGCAGCAGGAAATAGCGACAGGAACAGTCATCTAGGTGACCATATCTAGTAAACTATAGAAATAGTTAGTGGAACAGTATCAGCTCTTTCTCCAAACAAAATGAAAAACCTGCAGTTTTGCGACGCTTTTTTTCCCCCTGATACAATGATGGCTTTTAGTCACGTTCCAAATACAAATACACCATAAAAAAACTATTATTGTTTGCCCTATTTAGGAATAGGGAAAATGATACCGCTGGGCTTCGCTCCCCTACGATGATCCCACACACCATTTAGCCTGCCTACAAATGGGACATGTGGTTTGCCATCGTGGAATGCTCTAATCCAAACACAAAATTGGTATTTTAATTTTAGTTGGGTTTAGTGCAGCATTAAAGGGAAGACGACCAGTCAGGATGAGATTTCTTGAGTTTCCCCACACCTCCCAGGCGATGACAGCTATTGCTTTAAGTACTTGCCATTAACAACCAGTCACAATGTTAGTGACAGGATGTTACTAGCAGTTACTTAACGTGATAGATGTTAACATTTTTCTGCTCTTTATGACTCACACTGTACCCTAGTCAGAACATTTTAGGGGCTGAATGCACAGCACCAGGTCAAAATGAGGAGGATCACGGAAAACCTGGATGAGTGCAGAACAAGACATGTCATTCTGGGAACATTAGGTCAAGAAGAATCCACGATAAGGAAGTGAAATGGATTAAAATTAAAGATTAGAGTCCATTCTTTTAACTATTTCACACAAGGGGAAATCTCCAGCATTCGGGCATTTTGCGCTTCCAAACAGACAAAAGACCAACATGAAAATCCGCAGTGTGAAAACTAGTCTTTGACGTTAACATCTTCTAACAACTCTCCCAATGAGATACACGTTATGAAAGGACGCTTTGCTCCAATTTTAGAAGCCTGTGGACTGCATTACCTCTGCATGCATGGACTAGCCGCCTTGTAAAGACTCAAGTACAGGAAAGCACTCTTTTCAGAACAAACTGTAAGCCTAATGTTAAGCGTCTTTAATTTTCGACCATGGATAGATGTAAAACGCTGCATAAGATCTGGAGCCATAAAGACCATAATTGAAGTGGAAACGCACACAGTAAGGTTTTCTTGTAGAAAAGGAAAGTAAGAATTTTATTGTCCCGTGTATTGCTGTGGGTGGTTGATTTACCTGACCAGTTTAACCAACCAGACAGACTATGACCCAAGCACTGCACAACATACATCACATTTTATATTATTAATTACATAAAGTTAGAACAGGTTAGAAGTAAAACAGCAACAATTTTCCATTTTATTCCAGCTGATAATCAGTAGCCTGTAACACAAAAATAGCATTTGTAACTGAATCTAACTTGAGGGGAAATATGCATTAGAACAATTACAGTCTCATGATCTAATCCAAAAGATACTTTCCAAGTGGGTGCAAATAACATTCTTAAATGAAAGTATACTATGCCGCCTTTCTTAAGAATTCAGAGTAAACCTTTCTCCCCTACAATGAAAAAATACAAATGGCTTTGAGAAGACGTCAGACCACCTACCTTCAGCATCATTTTGAAGGTCCTCAGGCTGCTCTGCTTTGCATGTTGTGGGAGATGGAGGCTGGCCTTTTTGCTCCAATCCTTCTTTAAGCATAAAAATGTATTAATTATATTATTTCCAGGTTGTATTATCATATCAAATATTGCTATGTACGATAGTGCAACCATGAGCACATTTTGTCTCAGCACTTCATTCAATGCCTGATGCCTACCTTTGTATTATGAAAATTCATTACAGCATCATTTGCTATAAAAGGATCATAACAGTTATTTTTCACTTTGGGCCGGATTTAGTACCTAACTTTCACAAGGTAGCAGTACAGAAAGCTCATACTAAATTGACTAACTTCTTCACGTCTCTTAGTCTTGTCAGAAAAAAAAAAAAAGTTTTAATTTGTAGTTTTTAAAGGAGTATATATTATACTGCATTAGGGAGCCATGGAAAAATAATCTGAACAAAATGATTTTTTCTTCTCAGTTCAATCCTCCATTCAAAATTATAATATATTAAGAAGGAATATTACTGGAAATCAGTAATAAAATGAATGGTAGGGAAGAAAGTTTGATAATGAATTGAAGTTACAGAAATGAAAGCATTACAAAGTAGAAACGTTCAAGTTTAAAAAAAAATATTCCAACCTTTTGGCCAGAAAACAACAGGAAGATGAAGGCAAAAGAAACTCTAGCAGAGGCTAGTAAAGTTTAAGAACACCCTTATTCATAGCAACTTAATGGCAGTGTTTACAATTAGTTGGTTAAACTTCAAAAATTATGAAGGGTTTATACAACATTTTCAAAGTAACTCGTCATGTCAATGACTTTAACATAAGGCACTACATTATTTTTTTTTTGCTGAGATAGACCTCAAGGCACCAACTGATTGCAGAGGCAGCCTGTTAGTAGAAAAAGGAGGCTGAACTGGAAATTCATCATAAAAAGGCATTTTTAAATTAAGACATTTAATGAAAACATACTTCAACAAGTGTTGCTTTACTAAATCCTGGATTGAAAGCAGAGAACTGCAGACAATTAAAACGATATGCATTGTACCTATTGCAACTATTCAACAGTGATGGGTAAATGACTTTCTGTCACGCTTAACCTCCTGATCTCCTATGGCCAACTGAGTTTTCGGGTGAAGGAAAAGCCTAAGGAAGA